ATCTTGTGGTGGTGATAGGGAGGTTATAAATGTTCTGTCAAAGTTGAGGGGACCTTCATTCTAGCTGTTATTTGGTGGGAAATGTATGCAGAGGAATATAGTGAAGACTTGTATGAAATGTTAATTTTAACTGAAACAAAAATGTTAATTTTAACTGAAACAGATTCATCCCCAGGACTGGGGTCAGAAGACAAATACAATAGTAAGACGTGATCACTTTCATTGACTTCAGCTGGAAACAGGTTCAGAGAATTGAAATGATTTGACCAGATAAAAGTACATAGTCAAAACTAGATCTTAGACTACTCTATTCTCCGGGCTGTTTTTGTTTATTCCATGTATCCTCTGTTAATTGACCAGATTGATTGATTGACTTCCTAGCTCTATCACCAGGAAGTCAAAGTAAAACTCCACCATTGAACACTTGAAAGGCATGTCTTCTGAAGGGTGGGATTTCCCATCAAAGAAACAGAAAAATGCCATTGGCATTGAGCTGAAGACTGACTTTGATTTACCCCACCAAGTATGATTTTAATGACTACTTGTACAAACATGTAGGTACATCAGTATTGGGTAGATTCATAGTGTTAGGATAAATTAGGTAATTGAGTACAAAATACGGGCACAAGCTAGACCAGGTCCAAACACCTGACCTCATATCAGTTGAAACCATCATATCAAGAATAAACAGTAGAAAGATGCAATCACTTTCATTGACTTCAGCTGGAAACATTTACAATCCAATTTCAATTTAGCAAGATTTCATCAGAAGGTATCTTCCACAAATTGAGGTCCATCTTATTGTTATTATTTGAATTATTTGTGTGTATGTATAGTTTGGAACATCTTAGTGTTATTGCTGCTACTGCGGTTTCTATCACTGTTTGATGCTGGGACTCTTAAGCTCCAACCACATTTTCACCCAGCTGAGTCGCCTTCTTATCACCCCTTTCTGGTGAGTAAGATCATCTAGATAGATTCTCCAAAAGAAATACCCAGTGAGGGAGGGCAACAAGCAGGGCCACAAACCAGTCCTCATGAACCGAGGCCCTGAGCATAAAATGCTGTTTGATACACATGTAAAGGAATTTGGAGGTGGGGTAGACAGCAACTGAATCTTTAACTTGTAGAATATATTCTTTAGAAATGGCTCCCCGAACCATGCTAAACCCCGTAAGTTGCCCAGACACTGAAAACCCAAAAGAAAAGCTTCCCCTGTTAGTTAAGGTCAGGGAAGCAGAGGCGTTTCTCAGAAAATGTGTAGCTTCTTTGGCATTATGAGCCTGAAAAAAACTCTTCAAGCCCAACTGCGAATGAGTCAGCAGAGTTTTTCAGAACAGCCAAGGAGCGAATGCTTTCCTTAGGAGACTATTTATTTGGTTGCTACATAATACTGTAGATTAATTAGGAGTAAGAATGAGTGAAACTATTCGGAAAAAGTGATAGCAGCTTGAAAGCTTCACCCACCCCTGACCTAATGGAGGAGGAAACATTACAGTTCTGGGTAGTTCATTATTTTGAGGGGGTGGAAGAAAGTGACATCAACCAAAGTATTCTTATAAAATCTTTGAGTATTGGCCCAGATATCACCCTTATAAGGTCAAGATTATAGAACAAATGAATTGGTTCAACATTTAAATAAACCCTTGATATTTAAAGGTATCAAATATGCCCAATGTGACTCCCAATATGTTTAAAAAAAGAAAAAAAGATCTAGAGCAAAATCTAGCCAAAATAGAAATTAATATGGCTTAGAAACATCTTTCCTCATTTTCTAAATGTTTCCATATCTGGCAAAATGACCAGAGTGGAGGGTGAATGCTTTCAGCATGCTCAAAATTCAAACTCCAAGTTTAAGTGATTACTTAAGAGGCTTTAGTCTCTGAAATCCACCTGTCCTCACATGACATCATTAAATGTTTGCTTCTTAGGCTATTTCTTCTCTCTTCTTGGTCATCAATTGCTCCAACTAAACTGGGTCATTCCCATCAGCATACATACACCAGCATGTATTTATCACCAGGTTAAAACAAATATCAACTCTTGGTCAACTTCATTTATACCCTTCCCTCTGAACTATTTTGGTTTTTTGCTTGTTTGTTTGTTGTTGCTTTGTTTTGTTTTGTTTTGAAACAGGATCTTGCTTTGTTGCCCAGGCTGGAATGCAGTGGCATGAACCTGGCTAACTGCAGCCTCAGCCTCCTAGGTTCAAGCGATCCTCCTGCCTCAGCCACCCAAGTAGCTGGGACCACAGGCATGCACTACCATACCTGGCTAATTTTTGTATTTTTTTGTAGAGACAGGGTTTCACCATGTTGCCCAGGCTAATCTCCAACTCCTGGGCTCAAGCGATCCCCCTGCCTCAGCATCCCAAAGTGCTGGGATTACAGGCATGAGCCACTGTGCCCAGCCCCTCTGAGTTATTGTGAATTACTTTCCAGACATTGGATTGTTTTATTCATAGATAGTTAAGCATTTATCTCTAAAGATAAAGATCATTTTTGAAAACATAACCATAACACACTTATCCCACCTAAAAATATTAGCAGCTTTAATTTAACAATGTTCGTAAAGAAAGTCTATTACTTACAGAGAACTAGAAAAAGTACTGGAAGCTGACCAGAGACAAAACAAAGAGCACTGGTTCTTTTCTTTGGGCATTTGCTTAAAGAACATCACATGCCCACCTAAACAGGGTCCGCCTCTCTGTATTCTATCATTAGGAGCAGCAGGACATCTGGGGTTGAGAAGATGGAGACAGCATCCTTATATAACGTTGCAATCTGGAAGTATCACTCTCAAAAAGGTAAGTTTTTAGGTTATTTTTAGTTTGGTTTGCAATTTAAAAAAAAAAATCCTTCATTGAACTCTGACTCTGCAGATTCTAGAAAATAGAATATTGTGGGCAAGACTGGCTTCAGAAGTTTTATGGCTTAATAGAAAAAGAAGGTGGGCAGACCTGGTGAAAATCTTTGTACGGTCATGCATGCCTCCCATGCCCAGTATTTGCCACACTCTCTCTCTTTTTTTTTGTTTTTTTTCCAGACAGGGTCCTGCTCTGTTGCCCAGGCTGGAGTGCAGTGGTACGATCTCTGCTCACTGTAACCTCCGCCTCCCAGGCCCAAGTGATCCTCCTAACTCAGCTTCCTGAGTAGCTGTGACCACAGGCATGTGCCATCACGCCTGGCTAATTTTTTGTATGTTTGGTAAAAATGGGGTTTTGCCATGTTCCTTAGGCTGGTCTCAAACTCCTGAGCTCAGGCGATCCACTCACCTCAGCCTCTCGAAGTGCTGGGATTATAGGCATGAGCCACCGTGCCTGGCCACTCTTATTTTGTTTAAAACCAAAGAAATCAATCTTAAATCAATTTTGCACTTGATTTATGCACATCAATTTTGTTTGCTTCTTAAAGAGTATATGATTAGCTGTACAAGAGACTACAGGTTAAGAAAATCCTTAGTCTTGAGAAGAGCACTGAAGAGGAAGAAGAAGACACCAGGCCCCAAGACATCCACCAAAAATAGATCCAAATTAGATTGTCCGGCAGGGCAAACAATCCCATCACCTTATGCCAGCCCCTATATTCTGGCTGGTCCTCAGAATTTAGTGAAGATCAAAGTAAAATTTTTTTATTTCTGGGGTGAGCCTTCATCCAGGTGAAAATATTCTGGAAGAAAGCTTGCCTGGCACCTGGAATTCCATACCCTCGAGCTCCCCTTTTCACAGAACAACATCTGTCAGATTTACTGACAGCACAGCAGTGGCATAATTAACATATGATCCAGTAGAGTTGAGCTTTTGACCTTGGCACTATTGACATTTGGGGCCAGCCAATACCTTGCTGTGGCCATCCTGTGCACAGTAGGATGTGTTCAGCATCCCTGGCCTCCACCTGCTAGATACCAGGAGCACCTCCACCCCCACAGAAGTTGTGTCAACCAGAATGTCTCCAGATATTGCCAGATGTCCCCTGGAGGGCAAAATCAACCCTGGTTGACCACCACTGCAATAGTATTATTTTTTATCAAATATATGAAACATAAAGATTGCTAAGGGATATAAAGTAGATTATTTTAGATATCCAGTCTTAAAGGAAACCACTACTATCATCACTGGCCAAAAAAAGAACAGTGCTAATAATTAGACATAAAGTAATAAATGAAAACTATCATTGCTTTGAAATATTCCCTGGAGGAAATTAAACATCTGTGTAAATTTTATCCTTTCACGTGTGAAGATGACTGGGATAGCAGGTGTGGTAAAAGACATTGTTCCAAAGCCTGTTCTGTGGTTTGCTGATGAGAATATTCCCTGGCTTGGGCTACAGCTGCCATGTGCAGTCTCTCTATTGACAGTCTTTCTCAACCACTCCCGAAAATCCCCACATTGTTTGAACTCGAGTTTTGTAATTACAGAGATGTGGTTCTCAGAGCCAAAAATGAAGCTGCCTGGCTGGAGCAGCAGGATATAGAATAGGCTCTTGGGACTGGTAGATTATAACTTTTGTGGTTTCAAGTACTCATAAATGTGGTGGAGAGGGGTTTTGGAGATGATCCACAACTCGTCAGAGGCCCTGCTATTTTTTCTACCCACAGCCATTGTAGAGAATCCAGGCCGAGTTTAAGAGTGCTGTAGAAATACACTGCTGCTACTGCTGTTTCTATTAATGTTTGATGCTGGAACTCTTATGCTCCAACCACGTTTTCACCCAGCTGAGTTGCCTTCGTATCATGCCTTTCCAGTGAGTAAGATCATCTAGATAGATTCTCCAAAAGAAATAACCCAGTGAGGGAGGGGCATCCAGCATGACCACAATGCTAGTTGTTGTGTGCGAATGGTAAATAGAATGAAATTATGTATGTGTGTGCTGGTCATTATATGCATGCAGACACATTCATATGCATACGTAGTATAAATTAATCTCCATAAATGCCTAAGGTGATGGCAGTGATTAGGGGCAGTTAAAAATGTTAAGCACAAATTGGAGCTGAGACACTGATCAGAGAAAAATTATCTGTAATACTGAGAAACAGCCATCTGTCATGGCTAGAGGCTCAAGCAGAGAAGGGATAAGTGGAGAGGCCCCAGGAACAGATGGAGAGGCTTGAACCCCCACACAGAGCAGAGCGTCCAACAGCTGGGACTGATTAATCCAGACGGCCGACTATTACGTCATGTGTTGGATTACACCCAAGTGAGTGGCTAAAAGCTCCTAGCAAGTTCAGGCCAACATGAAGTCGTTTCACAGATGGTGTCCACCTTGGAATTCCACGAGGGATGAAGACACTGCTCAGTCCTGCCTCATTGTCCTCTGTGGAAAGAGCAAGAGGAATGAGGATAGGCCTTTCCCACCCCTTTATTCTTCTTTATTCTCAGGGTAAATGGAAATAGAGAAGGAGAGCAAGTGACATTTTAAAGAAGCTTGTTGACCTGTGTCTTTGTTCTCTGCTTGCTCTCTAAATTACATGATAGAGGGAATGATAAGGAACTTTAATGTAGGAAGTTCAGTCCAGTAAATTGATCCCATAGCCCAACATGTGATAAAAAGTTTCTGAAGATTAACTTGATCTACTCATGTTTCTTAGTAATCCCACAAACACTTTAAACAACATTTCAGAAACACAGGTAATCCCACAAGCATTTCAGCAACGTTTCAACTCAACACCTGTCCCCTCTCCAATGTTCCCTTCAAGTCAGAAACCTAACTTTGAGTACCCAACTCTACTGTCAATCAGTCACTGGGGCCTTATGGAATCAATGGAGTCTTGTAGATTCCATCTCCTTAGCATTGCTTGAAACCATCGCTTCTCTATTCCCATTGTTGTTGCCTCAATTTCGACCTTCAGTAAGTCCTGCCTGGACTGTTACAATAGTTTCTTCTAAGCTATCTTCCGGTTTCTTTGCTCCAGTGCATTCTTTTCACAGGGTCGGAGCGATGGGAAAACTTCCTCTTTGCCCTCTGAAGGTTCTCTGAAAATCACTGACAAGAGACAGATTAGATTAATAGGAGAAAAGGCATACAAATTTACTTGAGATCATAGTTTTATGTGACATGGGAACCTTTAGAATGAAGACCCAAAGATACAGAGCAAACTGGCCATTTTTATGCTTAGGTACAACATAGTGTGGACAGCTGTGCAGAAATGTGATTGGACAAAAATGTTGTGATCTAAAGCTAATAGAGTGAGTAGGGAAACCCAACAAGGCCTGTCTGTCTAGATTCTTCTTGACCTCTCTGAGCAGCATTCCTCCCTTCTGCGTATGGGGCAGGACCCTCTCTGGAATGGGGGTTTTAGGACCTACAGCCAAACTAGTCAGGTCAGATCATTTCTGTATGGCCAGTTTTTACACAGAAAGGTGGGAGGGAAAGTTAATGTTTTTATGTTTTATGGCTGGCTTTGGGGAACAGGGTTTCTGGTTTCTAGAACCTGCCTTGGGGAAGGATTCTAGCTTCTATTGCTCCTCTGGGGAGAATGGGACTGAGAGACAGGAGGGCAGGGGAAGGTCAGAGAACAACATCTGCTTCTAAGGCTGCTTCTGGAGCCTTTATTTTGGGGTATTGTTTTCTGAGTCCCCACAGTAGCCTCCAGAATAGCCTTCTTAAAACTGAAATCTGTTCATATTATTTTCCTGCTTACCACTCTTGTACGGCTGCCCATTCTCAAAGGTTTTTAGACATATTTTTTGTCTTGACAGAATATAGATGAAATTCATCAGAGCAACAAAATTCTATATACGTAGTCAGATTTTCATGGAACTAATTTTTTTTTTTCTGAGAAATAAAGTTCATCACAGTGAGTCAAGATGCCTCATTCCAAGCTATGGTGTAAATTTCATAGACTAAGAAATGTGTGAGTTTTCTTTTTGCTAAGTATGACACATCACCTCTCTCTCACAAAGGGATATATGTTGTTACCAGTGTAAACTCATTAGTTTTGATTAATGTTTTGTGAACTCAAAAGTATCTGAGACAGCTCTCAATCAATTTAGAAAGTTTATTTTGTGAAGGTTAAGGACATGCCCATGACACAGCCTCAGGAGGTCCAGATTACATGCACAAGGTGGTCTGGGTACAGCTTGCCTTTATACATTTTAGGAAGACATAATACATCAATCAATACATGTAAGGTTTACACTGTTTCAATCTGGAAGGGTGGGACAACTCGAAGCAGGGCTCGGGCTTCCAGGTCATAGGTAGATTTAAACATTTTCTGATTGGCAATTGGTTGAAAAAGTTATTATCAGTAGAAAGGATTGTTTGGGTTATGATAAGTGGTTGTGGAGGCCAAGGTTTTCTCATGCAGATGAAGCCTCCAGGTAGCAGGCTTCAGAGAAAATAGACTGTAAATGTGTTTTTATTCGACTTAAGGTCTGTGTTGATATTAATGCTGGAGGGGTATAATGAGGCTTATCCAGCCCCCTCTTCCATCACGGCCTGAACTAGTTTTTCAGGTTAACTCTGGAATACCCTTAGCCAAAAGGAGGGGTTCATTTAGATGGTTCAGGGGCTTTAGAATTTTATTTTTGGTTTGCAGTATCATGGTTATATAAGATGTTAACATTAGGAGATGCTGGGTAAAAGGTATATGGGAACCCTCTGTACTACCTTTGCAACTTTTCTATAAATCTAAAATAATTTCAGAATGTTACTATTAACTATACTCTTGAGGTTATTTATGTCTATTTTATCCGAATAATGGGAATATCATCTAATGGTGTGCTAATACCTCTTTCCCCAACTCCACATTCAGTGATAACTAGTTGGTGGTTTCACGTCAGACAATGTGGGAGTATTTACACCTTGGCAAGTGGTAAGTGCTATAAACATTTATCAGCATACTAAGGCAGCCAGATGTGACTTTCTCTGCCTGAATATGAAAAGGTATCAATACGTATGGGTTGCCAAAAGTGCAAGGGAGAAGATAAGACAGCAACTGTGAAAACAAGCTCCCCTCTTTCTCTGTAAAGGCTGCAAATCTGCTTATGAGTGTTTCAGAGTCACTGGGCAACCCAGGTCACAGGCATATGGCAGAGATCCCTGTGCTGCTCTGGGCCCCTAGGAAGGCAGGGTGTGGAGCCTATCATTTCAGATTCTGAAAACTTTGAGGGATGCGGGAAGAGACCATGGAAGCCAAACACGAATCTCCTCATAATTTTAGCCGTGATGAGTATATTGAGAAACATTCAAAATACTTAAAATTTGGCATCAGGGGTCAGGGCCCATCAGTTCTACATAGTAGCTACCAGCATAACATTTTCCATCATGGTTTTCTGTCCATTAAACGTCATGTTTTTATTCTGTGCCAAAATCATTCAATTTAGTATATGAAGAAAAAAGGAATACTTCCAGGGACCACACACCCAACAGAGAGGGATGTTGAAAAGATTCACCATCCAGATCTTTCATGGTAGAGGTGATCAGCATTGAGGGTACAGTTTGAAGTTTGATTTTTTTGGCCGGGCGCGGTGGCTCAAGCCTGTAATCCCAGCACTTTGGGAGGCGGAGACGGGTGGATCACGAGGTCAGGAGATCGAGACCATCCTGGCTAACACGGTGAAACCCCGTCTCTACTAAATATTACAAAAAACTAGCCGGGCGAGGTGGCGGGTGCCTGTAGTCCCAGCTACTCGGGAGGCTGAGGCAGGAGAATGGCGTGAACCCGGGAGGCGGAGCTTGCAGTGAGCCGAGATCTGGCCACTGCACTCCAGCCTGGCTGACAGAGCAAGACTCCGTCTCAAAAAAAAAAGAAGTTTGATTTTTTTTTTTTTTCCAGATGAGTCTCGCTCTGTTGCCCAGGCTGGGAGTGTTTTTTTTTTTTTTTTTTCAGATGGAGTCTCACTCTGTTGCCCAGGCTGGAGTGCAGTGGCATGATCTTGACTCACTGCAACCTCTGCCTCCCAGGTTCAAGCGATTCTCCTGCTTCAGCCTCGTGAGTAGCTGGGACTGCAGGCCCACCAAGCCTGGCTAGTTTTTGTATTATTAGTAGAGACGAGGTTTCACCTTGTTGGCCAGGCTGGGCTCAAACTCCTGGCCTCAAGTGCTAGAGGGAAATTAGAATATTTTATTGTGTGTTTTTGGTTAGCATACCCAAGGGAGGGGGTGCCTTAGATATTCATGAGCCACAGCTGGGGATTTTAAGCAACCCTCATTGGTCATAAAGTCCAGAGAAAAGAAGGATCCTCTCGGTCCTTCAGGGCTTCTGGATGTCCTGCTAGACCTGCATTGTGTGTAAAAACCTTCTCAAGATTATCTGAGGATAGATGCTCACAGCATTTTACAAATAAGCACAAAAGTATTTTTAGCAATTTTAATAAACCCTGAATTTTTCTGGAAATCAACTACTGTATGAATCAAAAGTTTGTGTTTTGCCCTGTATGGAACTTTTAGCACAAGTCACTCATTGTTCTGGAAAATCCTGACACCACCAGTTCTCAATATAACACACCTGAATCTACTGGCATTTGTAACTAGTTCATTTTTAGTTTTCCTACAACTATTTATTATTAAAGGGGAGCACTGTTCTGATAAGGCTGGAAATCACTGCCTTGAATTTCTGTAAATCACTGGAATCTATGCTGCTTGAAACCAATGTTTTGACCAAGGCAAAACTTCTCCCTTTGCCCTCTGAAGGTTTGCTGAAAAATCAACTGACAAAAGGCAGATTAATAGGACAAAAAGCATACAAATTTATTAACGTGCATGAGAGTCCTACAAAATATGAGATCTCAAAGAAATGGCCAGATAATTAATTTATGCTTTTATACCACCTTGAGGTTACAGAATGAATGGGGACTTGGGAGACTGCAAAGCACGCTATGTTGGCAAAACAAGTTATAGGAGAAGGAGAAGAGGAGGCCTGGCTGGCAAAGTTGGTCTCCTTACATAGATAAGACCTCACAGGTAGCAACCCTCAGAGAGAATAGATGGTAAATGTTTCTTTCAGACCTTTAAATGTGTCAGACTGTCAGTTCATCTTTCCTAGATCCAGACAAGGCAGAGCTAAGAGAAAGCCTGTCTGCATCAGTGCAGATTTTCTCTACAGATGCAAATCTGTCCCCACAAAAGACAGCTTTGCAGGGCTGCTTCTGTTTGCAGGCGCTCTGAACAGCCATCTCAAAATATGTCAAAGAAATATATTTTGGGGTGAAATATTTTGGTTTTCTTTAAAGTCAACGATGAAATTTGTTATTTTTTTCACTTTACATTCAGGTTGTTGTCGCCTTTCCCAGGGACACCAGAGGTCCTGGCTTTGCTTAAAGACAAGGCTTCACAACCTCAGAACTAATTAACATTTGGGGAAAATGCACAGTGGATATTGCTAAACCACGTACAGTGCACAGGACAGTACCAGCCCCCACCCCAACATGGGGTATATCTGTGGTCTCTACCCACTAGATTCGAGCAGCAACCTCCCCACAAGTTGTGACGACCAGTGTTAAACGTTATACGAATTAAATTTAATAGAGTTTAACTGAGTAAAGAACAATTCTAAAATCAGGCAGCCCACAGAACCACAATAGGTTCAGACCCGAAGATGTGCCACATGGTTGGATAACATTTATGGACAGAAAAAGGAAAGTGACACACAGAAAACGGAAGTGAGGTACAGAAACTGCTGGATTGGTTTTATAGCACGGTGTTTGCCTTATTTGAACAGGGTTTGAACAGTTGGCTGCCCGTGATTGGCTGAAACTCTGTGATTGGTACAAGGGTAAGTTAGTCTGTTTACATATCAAGTTAGGTTACAGTTCAGTATGTACGGAGAAACCTTTAGACCAAACTTGAAATATGTAAGGAGCCAGATTTAGGCCAAACTTAATTTTAACACCAGAAATGTCTCTAGACATTGCCAAATGTCCCCTGGGGGGCAAAATCACCCCCAGTTGAGAACCTCTGGTTTAAGGCAACTCTACTTTGGAATTCTTTTCAGAATGAGGAGAATATGGGTCATGTTTCTCAAAGCACGATTTGCAAATCAG